AGTCAGGGAATACCTGTAAACTGAATGAAGTTGTGTTGACTGTTTCAAGCTTGATCACATATAACACAAATGCTGATATGTGGGGGTCTTATGGGACCCTCCAGCAGCAACAGCAGTGTTTGTTATTTTCAGAGTATTGCAGGAATGGCAGACCGTTTTTATCCCATTGACTTTGGCTTTTGGAATGGTTCTATATAATGATAGGCTAAACCATATGGAATTCATCTATCTTCACATTTAGGATGTAATTTTGGCTTTTCCTGAGAGATTGCAGTCACTTTTAATTTCTGATTGTATCTTAGAATGCCCCAGTAAAAAACTTCTACAATAATAGTAGTGGTGGTGGATCTTGGTAGTAGTACTATGTGCTGATATTTATGGAAGTAATCTCATTCTTGTACTTGGAAGGCTCAAGACTTATATCCAAGAGGTGCTTGGTTCTAATCAGGACATAACTTTTCCTCAGTTACTTTGTGGTTTAGCGGCCTCCGTAGTCTAGGGGTAATGTTCCCACCTCATGACTCAGGGTACGCGGGTTCAAACCCGGCGGAGGTCTTGGATTTTTTAAGGGTGGAAAAATTCAGGCATGTAAAAGATCGTCATGTCTCTAGGAGACTTCTGAGCAAAATTAGGCAACACATTTCCCACCCAAGTAGTTTCCAATGCCTCTGGTAGATGGGGGAAATATCAGATACCCAGGCCCGACCTCGTTGGCTGAACGGGGCTGATAGCATGCACCAGTACCGGTAGGTTATGGCGACAGTAGAAATTAAAGGGGGATGCACAATGGACCAATAACTGGTCTAAGTGCATGGGGAAACCCACCCCCTCTAATAATAATAATAATACTTTGTGGTTTTCATCAGTTCCACCAGGCAAATTTCCGAATATTACCATAATTTGGCCATGACTACTTATTTCAAAATCCTTCAAATTTCAACATCTTAGCATTAGATGCTATATAGATATTGATAGCTTCATAAAGTAACAGAAATTGATTAGAGTATTATTTGCCACTATCTATAACTGATTTGTTAAGAGTTATTGTCTTAAATAAGCAAGTTATTGTGTCTTATTTCATCAAAATTACAATCTCCTGAGATCTGATACTGTGTAGTCCAGTAGAAAGGTACAAACATTTGCAGGTAGCCTCTTGGCTCCATCTCCAGGGCAGAAGTTGACGACAGCAGGTTCTTCAAAATGTTGGTACCTGTCAACCAAACTACACTGTGTTACATGCCAGAAAGCAGTGATCTTCATGCTTGCTGCCATGAGAATGCCAAATCTCACGTGAGCTAAAAATTTGACATCTGTAGGCTGTTTTATAGTTTTTTAATTCACTGTTATATGACCATTTTTTAGGGGGAGAATCTCATTTTCTTAAATCTTAACCATTAAGGATATTGCTGCTGTTAGTCGAGGGTGCTGATAGTTGTGTTTATGTTTCCTTCTGGTATGTGTCAAGATACTCTTATTAATCTGAACATTTTTTTTTTCTTAGAGCTTAGTGATTGTAGAGAGTGTAGAATGTGATATTTAATTCTCATCCGGTCTAAGTTGCTGTGCTTTGCACTGCACAACAATTGTAGGTAGCTGTATGCATGTGTGTGGGTGTGTGTACATAGGAGAGATTTGCTGCCAACAATCTGCACAAAATGTTATGCAGGATATAAGAGAAATTGTATTTTGTCAGATGTTAAATGTTATACACGTGATGATTAGAACAGGTTAATTTTATTTTATATGTCTCATTTTAAATAAAAAGGAACAAGTTAAATTAATAAAGTTTTGGGGTAGCTTTATGTCTTTCAATCACTGATATCGTTTCCCATAAGTTAACATTGCTGACTTTTTATTAGCTCATCACACGCTATAAAATATTGGATTAAATTAATTATGTATTCTCACATTTCATGATACAAGATTAGATTTTATATGTTTCTGTTCTTTTCCATCTTCTTTCCAAGCAAATTCGCTCAAGTCATACCACTTATGACTTGTATGAGAGAGATACTTGGTTCACATCTCAGCCAAGACATGGAATATCTTAACCTAAGTTCTTTGTTAATAGTTCTGTCTTCTATGCTATAATGCTGCATAGTTCACTGGAAGTCAAAGAAGACAGAACTATTCATACTTGCTGCTGTGAGAACATCTGATCTCACAACACGTGTTCTTCCTCACACTGAACCCATTCAATAATTGATTCTCTTTTCCCAGGTGTTCATTAAGAAATGATTACAGAACTGTCACATTAACATTAACACGACTAAAATGTCATGTTCTGTCTTATAGGATATAATACCGTGTAGTCTGTTAAATGTCAACCAGTGTTGCAGAAGAACACGGCCTTATATCCCAGAAGATAGAAGTCTTCATAACCATTGGTGTCAGTACCTCAAATCTTGCATAGTGGCTTACCAGTTCCCCTTCATATTCAGAAAATCCTGGGTTCACAGTTTGGTTTGGCTACTCGCTGGCCTAACTTAGATTCATTCCATTCTCCTTGCCCATTGCAGTTACATGGATAGAGACTTCAAGTAGCTTATCTCTTACCTTCCATGTCATTTCCAATTCATTTTTCACAATCATCCTTCCATTGATGCTCTGTAAGGAGTTGAAAAGTGTCATTAAATGAACCAATAATACACCAACTTTAACACTTTAGAACATGACAAAATGAAATGTTCCTTGCTCTGCTCAGTGTATACACAAGAGTTGGCCCTTTGAAGCCTTAAATCTAAGCACATTACGTTTACAGGTTTGGTTTATACCTCATAGGAGGCATGAAAAAAATTGATTGGTTACTGTTGTTTAATGAGATAATTGCTGCTTATCCTGAGAATCAAACAGCATGAATGCGTTTGTTGATAGTTAAAGCATGTGGTACATACAATAACCACTGTGCATTAAGGAGGTTAAATTAATGAGTGTGATGCAATCAAGGTTCCACGAGCCAGCTCACTTTGTACACAGCTAGCTAACATGTCCGAGTAGTATTATGGGAGGAAGCAGTTTTGGTCTAGCCTGAGCAGTGCCTTTCCTGATTGTATTTTTTAATAATTTTACTTATTTTCTTCAAGCTTCTGTCTTCCTTCAAGGCTGTTCCTATTCATACATGAATCCCTTCAGATTTAATTTGGCACTAAATCTCCATAGCTGGTATAAAATTAAAGAAATAGAGAATCACTCCACAGAAAGCATAGGCCTAAATTCCTTGTCTAATACATTTATAAAAGTAAATTTTGATTCAATTTCTGTCTGTTTCCTGTTTCTAACCATGGGCTTAATTGGAAACAGTGAACTAACAAACTTTTCAAGGAGCTGAGTCCTAATAGAGAAGCTGCCTGTTGTGCAGTTATGCAAGAACTTCCAACATTTTATGGAACCCGAAGATTCATTACCGTGTTCACAATATCCCTTCACCTTTTCCTATCCTGAGGCAGATCAATCCAATCCATGCTACCCCATCCTGTCTCTGTAAGATCGATTTCAATATTATCCACTGACTTACATGGTCTCTTTCTTCCTGGCTTTCTTGCCAATATCCTATATGCATTCCTCTTCACCCCATTCATGCTACATGTGCAAACCATCTAATCCTCCTGGACTTGATGATTCTAATTATACTTGGTGAAGAGTACAAGTTCTGAAGCTCCTCATTATGCAGTTTTCTTGAACCTCCCGTCACTTCATCTCTCTTCTGTTCAAATATTCTCCTCAGCATCCTGTTCTTAAATACGTTCAGTCTGTGCTTTTTAATGTCAGTGACAGGAAACAGCTAATGGAACGAAATTTATTCCATATTCTGTAAATATGTTCCATAGCCACTGCTGTTAAAGTGGTATGCAATTGTTATGGTAGAGATTTTGCGTGAGGTTCGAATCCTTATTCTTAGTTTTTATAATTGCGTGAAGAAACTTTAATTTTTTAATTTCACTGTTATTCCTCATTTGAAGTTAAGTTATTACTACTATATATTGTAATGTAGAGAAGACTAGCGGTCAGATTCCAGAGTAAGAACTGATAACTTTGCTTGTCCGTTATGTAACTAATTTGTCTATCTGCTTGTTCTTGGGTTTTCATATTTTCTTAATAGTTCCTGAGAGTTTTAGCTGAGATAAATAAGTTCAGTTCAGATTAACATAACATTTTGAATGCAGTGCAAGTATATTAAATCTAAAACTCTTATGATCAGTCAGTGAAACCAATGCACAAGGAGGCTGGGAGTTCACCATTTCTGAAGAAATCAGAGCATACAAGAACAAAACCCAGTTTTCAGAGACCAGCAAGTCCAGATTCAAGAGGCAGGATGTAGTGAAATATGTGTCCAGTCTGAATTCCCAAGTTATATGGAGTATGTGTGTGAGCCAGGTAGTGCAGCTGGTATAGCGACTGCCTATGAGCTGGATGAACGAGGGGACGGAGTTTGAGTCCCAGTAGGGTCAGGATTTTCTCCATGTCGTCCAGACCAGCTCTGGGCCCACCCAGCCTCCTATTCAATGGGGATCGGGACTCTTTCCCCAGGGGTAAAGCAGCAAGGGTGTGAAGCTGACCACTCACCTCCAGCTAGTGTTGAGGTCAAGAAAATGTGGATCTATACATCCACGCCCCCATACGCCTTCATGGCGTAGTGCGTAATTAGTTAAGCACAGAGACAATATTTATGGAGTATATGGGTTGTGAGCACACTTAATGGGATGAAAGAATTGTTTCTTTGAGTTAAATTTATTATCACAGAAGCTTCCAGTTCCATGAAAAGGCAGAGAATTTCTTTAATATCTGAATGGCCATTATCCGAAGAATGACCCAATTCTATATAGTTAGTTGTTTCAATCAAGTAATTTATATGTTGCTGATGGAACGAGTCATGTATTTACGTATTTGTGCAATTAATACCGTTCAATGTTCCCGCTATTAATCACTTTTGATTTTAGTATGAAGTATGTCATGTTTGCCACTAGATGTCTCTAATACTCTAAACGTGGCTTCTAATAAGAATGTGCTATTATGCGCTCAGCTGTCAAATATTGGTTACTAGATAGGGAATTATTAAATAGTAATGATCCCTAGTACTTGCATATAGCTACGGAAGAATAAGGTATGGTATAATGTATATCATAATGACTTCCTTTATTAAGGCAAGAGTATAATTTACGGTATAAAAATTCACATTTTCGATGGTTTGCCTTGCCCAGTCCCGAGTTAAAGATACTTTCTTGAACTAGTGTCTCGATGGAACGCAAATTAATATAAAACCGGAAAATAATTATTAAATTAGGAGAGGAGGTAGAAACGTTATTTAGAAAACGTACGGTAGTAGCATATTATTTAGAGTATTATAGGTTATGTTGCATGAGGTTACAGGTTGGCCTAGTTATACTTTCAGGGCTCACAACGTTACGTGATTGTAAAAAATGTATAACTACTTTATTTTTAGGGAGAAGTTGTTATGCAGGGGATGTTGCCATGTAAGGAGAGGCGATGTCGGACCTCGACCGCAGCCTCACAGCAATAGATTGGCTGCCATGCCTCAATGCACACAACACATTACCAGCAACAGATGGTTCGGTGGAAACTGGGAACAATGGTGAAGTTGATGCTATGATCCGAGAATCAAATCTTGGGTCGCCTAATCGGGCCAAAGATGGGAAACCGCCGTACAGCTATGCCAGCCTCATTCGTCTAGCTATCAGTAGTGCATCCAAAGGAAAGATGACTCTTTCAGAGATATACCAATTCATCATACAACAGTTTCCATACTATCGGAATGCAGGAACAGGTTGGAAGGTACTGTAGCTGTATTTATGGGAGACAATATCAGTTCTATTGGAAGAAAGTGGTGGCTTTAAAAGTTCCTGTACTTTCATAATAACTTCAAAATTTGGTGATCACATATAAGTGTTTCAAAATTCAGTATTTATTTATGGTTACTAAGCATAACACAACAGTGTGATTAAAGTAGTCACCATATAGTGAAGATGTATTGTGATTCCATAACCTCAGAAACTCACAGTTTCATTGTTCCCAATCAAATGCCATCGATGGCATTGTTTGGCAGACATCTGATGTATATACAGAATGAAATAACACATGTGTGCATGGACTTGCGCATTTGTGTATGGTATTTTCCCCTATTTCATGGTCCAGTGTTGTGGAAAGAGCAACACAGTTGCATAATTGCTTTATAATTTCATGGTTTCAATATTTTGGCTTGAAAGGCAATGCGTGGGATCAGAAGTTCGCCCAAAAATGGCTGTGAAGAATACTATTTTGTGGGTTGGGATGCCTTGTGGTCAGGGTAGAATACCCTGAAGATGGATGCAGCAAAATGTTGGCAATATCACTTGACAGCCATCTTCAAATACAGTAAACATATACTTTTAACTGTGTCATGCTGTTGTGTTTTTGTTAGAAGTGTCTTTATTCCTGTAGATTCCTGTCTTTTGGGATGTCATGTCATGTAATCTGGTAGTTAGAACCAATCTAGGTAAACTTGCTGTCTTTCTTCAGGGTATTTGACATGGCATCACATCACAGAAGACACTAATCTTTATAGTCACACTTTGTTTGCATTCCTCTTCTCTCCCATGTGTGCTACATGCTCTACCAATCTCATCCTCCTTGATTTGATTGTCATATTAATATTTGACTAGGAGTGCAAATTGTGAAATTCCTCCTTATGCAGTTTTCTCAAACCTCCTGCTATTTCCTCCCTCTTCCATCTAAATATTCTCTCAACACTCCTTTTTATTCTAAGTTAGACCACCCCAAAATGACTCTGCATCAGAAAGTGTTAAATTCATATGAACATGTGTCCTTGTAATGTGTTTCAGAACTCCATACGCCACAATCTGTCACTCAACAAGTGCTTCACAAAGGTTGCGCGTAGCAAGGATGACCCAGGGAAGGGCAGCTACTGGAGTATTGACTACAACACGAGTCAGGATGATGGCTTCTCCAAGAAGAAGAAGAGTGCTTCCCAGTTATTCAGGGTGAGTTCAGTAAGCAAGCTCTCTTGTGACATTTTCTTCGTCTACTTTCAGTGGACCAAGACTGTTGGCATGTCGATAATGCATTTGGCCTGATTTGAATTCTGGGTTTGTCCCCTGATCTTTTGTATGAATTCGTCTATGCAGGAACCGGGAAAATGCATTAAAAGGCCTTGATTGAATTTATGTCTGTGGTACGTATTATCAAAGTTGGAGAAAACTGCATAATGAGGAGCTTCATAGCTTGTACTCTTCTTCAAGTATAATTAGAATGATCAAGTCAAGGAGGATGAGGTGGGCAGGGCATGTAGCATGTATGAGGGAGACGAATGCATATAGGATATTGGTGGGAAAGCTAGAAGGAAAGAGACCACTGGGAAGACCAAGACGTAGGTGGGCAGACAATATTAAAATAGTTCTTAGAGAGATAGGATGGGGTTGTATGGAGTGGATTGATATGGCTCAAGATAGGGACCAGTGGGGGGCTCTTGTGAACACGGTAATAAACCTTCGGGTTCCATAAAATGCTGGTAAATTCTTGAGTAGCTGCAGAATTGGCGGCTCCTCTAGAAGGGCTCAGCTCCGTGAGTAAGTAAGTAAGTAAGTAAGTAAGTGGTGTGTGATTTATAGGCTACTTCTTGTACTTGAACTGCAGTCAACACAGCAGTTTATTTTAAATTCACTGTGACTCAAATGCAACAAAAATGGAGGGGAAACTGAAATGTGTCTGCTAGTGAATTTAAAAGAAATTGTTATCACAAGTGTAAAGGATCAATTAAGGGAATAATATTCTTAAAATTAGATGGTGATGTCCACTTCATCTCCTTTCTTCCTAATTCATCATATATTCATATCCTCGTCTATTTATTATTTGTTATTTATTTAACACTGGATGTTACTAGCTCACACTGTGTAGGTTTCAGGGAGAGGACAGTCAGTTAGTAATGACTTCGGAAAGCATGTGGATATAAGTGGTTTTAGTCAGATATGAGGTATGAGCCTGGCATTTGTCTGGAGGGACTGGAGACAATTAAAAACTTTAAATCCATAGAGTAGTTTGTGTTTAGGCTAAGTTTTGAACACGTGGTCTGAATGTGGTGCAGAAGTGCTACCGATTAGACCACAATGTTTGGAACATTCATTGTATTTTATCTCATCTTGCCATGCAAAACCTATGTAGTTCATGCAGAATTTATTGACTAAGCAGTGGAAGAATTTATGAAACACATTGAAAACATGCCCATTATGTCTTTAGTTTCAGAACCTGATAAAAGGAACGTGGAAGTGAGGAACTTGTAAGGAACTGGCTCTTCAGTCTTTGTTGTATCTGTAATGTGTACGGCGTCTGTTTCAGGCATCACCATACAGTCCAGAGTGTAGCAGCAATAGCAGTGACTATAACAGCTGTGCCTTCACGGCTTCTGGGGGTGTGCGCCCGAAGGTGTCTGACTGGCCGTCAGCCCCACCTAACAAATATGAGCAGCCGTCGATGAAAGCTAACTCCCGTTGTTCTGCTCCAGGTAAGAAGTTCAGTCTTCCTTTTGGAAAGATGGTTTATTTAGCCTCGATTTCCTGACGTCTGATCCCTTTTACCTCAAAAGTAAGTGTCCTTCATGTAACAGTTTCATCACTTTAGTTTTAAAAAGCAATGTTACCAAATTATTTAAATGGGTATTTTATTTAAATTTAAAAGTTTCATATTTTACGTGTGTTTCATCATTATCTGTTGAATTTGAGGATGTAGTTTGGAGAGAGTGATGGCAGGCACATGTTTCTGTTGATTCCATGCCTTGCTTATTCTTTGATTCTGAAGATAGAGGCGACACATTTCTCTGAAACATTGGGCTCTCTTTGAACTACACATCATTATAACCCAGATGATTTTACTCTTCATTGTTTCTTTTGACACTTAATTTGTCTTTTTGTTTGCCTTCACTACTGTCAGGCACAAAGTTTGAAATACGAATTTTGTGCTGCTTCTAGCTGACAGCATGCAGCTGCACTTCGAGCCAGGAGGCATGCCGCTGAGGGATCACGCAGGAAGTGGCAGTGATCTGGGACACCTGGAACTCAATGACACCAATGAGTTCTCGGCTGTACTTAGTGGGCTTCTTTCCCAGTACGGAATGAGCTTGGAGTCTGAGCAGAGTCATCAGCAGATGTCGACTGGCATGCATTCTGGTGACCCCCCATATGGGTCGCAGGGTGCCAATCCAGAGTCCCCATACAGCAGTGTCCTGCCCAGAAATGTTAATCAGTTGGACCCTTCATACAGTCCTCTACAGAGAGGATCTTCAGGTTTGAATGAATCTCAGTACAACGCCATCCAGAGGGGAGGATCAGGGAATGGTAATGAGCCATCGTATGCTTCAGTCCCTAGACGAGCGAGTACTGCCAGTTCTCCTTACAGCATGGCACCGAGAGGTGCCAGCAATTCGCCGTACTCTGATCTCTCACGAGCTTCCGGCTCTCATGATTCTCCCTACACTGTCTCCCAGGAAGATGGCTCTCCGTACAGTAGTCGGTGTTCAAGCGCAGTAGGTGCAAACAGTGATGCCCATTTAGCTGTGCCCAATGGAGTCAGCATACCAAATGGTCATTACTCTACAGTGTCAGGAAACAGATCTGTACCACAAAATGATCCTTATAATTTCCAGCTTGCTTCCAATGGGCCCTATATGAAACTCACAAACAGTGGTACATATCCTGGCAGGCAGGATTCCTATGCTGGATCTTATCACGGTGTATGCAAAGATGTCTCGAACAGAGGGGGTTATGATGTCATGTACCCAGATTCTCATGGTGGCTCTGATAACCCATACACTGACACGAGGTCTGATCCACAGTACTCGAGTGTCGAAAGTGGTGCCTCATACAGCAGTATCCCATCAGGGGGACCAGGCCCCTGTGGCAGTCCATACGCAAGAGTGTCTGTGGAGAATAAATCCAATGACACGTCATACACGAATGTTATTTGTGGAGGTGACAGTGTTCCATATTCACAAGATGGCAGTCGTTACAGTAGCTCTGGTTCTCATGATGGTTCGTATGGACCTGGAGCTACCGGTAGTCACGAAGGCAGTTATGTGACCAGTTCTCGCAGTAGCCCCTTTTCAAATAGCAAGTCTCACGCCCCAAGCCACAGTGACTCCAGGAACTCATTTAATCATAACCCTTCCGTGAACATACTGTACAATCCTAATAGTGGACATTATGGTGGCACTGGTGTCCCAAACAGAGCATGTACAAATGGTGCTTATTCTAGTGCATACAGTAGCAGGAATGTTAATATGAATCAAGTGAACTCCCACGAGTTTGAAGGTGCAACAGTAAATAACGTGATGGAAGTGGTAGCGAATCGCAGTTTTAACAGTGGAAGTCAGACTGAAGAAACATTTCACCAGAGTGGTAGTTTTGTTGCTGCGCAGTCGAAACATCATGGGTTCGAATCTGTAAACTGTACTGCCTTTCAGAATAACACCTGTAATGTCAGTGGTTGTGCCCCTTCTGTAGAGCAAGTGTTTCAAGGTAAAGATTGTGCGGGCACGGGCCACGCAATAGCAGAGCATAGTTTTCAGGCGAAGGAGTGCAGCGAGGAAGGGCCACACATGTTGAAACAAAGTGGTGCCGACAGGTATGCAGGTGAGGAGTGCCCCAAAGGCCTGCTGGTTCACCGCAATGAAGTGATCAACCCACCTGCGCCAACACAGACTCACTCAGATGATGAGATAGAAGATGATTTCAACTGGGATCGCCTGTTATAACATTGGCTGTACATGATTAGATATCGCATGACTGTATAGGCAGTCACTGTGCTTTTTATTATTGTCATTGTTTGTTGTTGATTTGAGACAAAGTTCGCAAGTGGTCAGATCAGATTACTAGCTCGGGAAGTGCAGCATCCATACCAGTATGTAAGATTAATTATTCCATCAACACAATAATATTTTGTACGTTTTTTTTAAATATGCTAAATTATGAATGATAATTGACCTGTTATTTAAGTAACAATATTCTTACTAACAATACTCTTGAGAGAGGCATAGTATACTTTGATTTTCGGTTTTGTGAGATTTAAGATCCTGGCAGTGGTAACCATGAAGATTACTGTTTTCTGGGATGTGACACTGTGTAGTCTGGTAGATTGCTACCAACATTTTGGAGGCAGCCAATTCCTCTGAATATGTCAGACCATACAACTTCATCTCCCAGATGATCATAATCTTTTAAGTATGAGTGTTTCCCCCATTTGAGATTATGAACGCCATTATGGTTATTTACTGTACCAAGCTGTACTCTCAGTTGTTTCTTTGTTAGTATATTCTTGTTTTATTAATCCTTGTTAACATTTTACTGTTTACACTGAAAAAATGGAGCCGGGATAGCATGGTCAGTATAGTGAGTGGCAAAGGACTGGATGACTGGGAAGTCAGAGTTTGAGTCCTGGTTGGGTCAAGAATTTTCTCTTCTCCACATCGCCCAGACCAATTCTGGGGCCCACCCAGCCTCCTGTCCAATGGGTACCGGGGGCTCTTTCCCCGGGGGTAAATCGGCCGGAGCGTGAAACTGACCACTCATCTCCAGCTAGTGCTGAGGTCTAGGAAATCTGGATCTATACATCCATCCACTCCCTGATGCGCCTTCATGGCGTAGTGCTTGGCTACTGAAGCACAGGGACAGCTTTACCTCTACCTTTAACACTGAAGGAATGTTGTTGGCTTGTATTTATATGGGTTTATATAGCGGAGTATTTTGTTAAGATCTGTAAAATTTTTATGATCCCTCTTCTTTATGTTTATTAATAGTTCAAACACTGTTGTTGTTAATATGGTAGAGAAAGAAATTGGAAGACATTTTCAAGTGGCATTTTCCAAGAGGATTTTAATAACTGGTGAAGTTCTTAATGTTGAACTAAACTTTCTTGTATAGAGTTCCTAATATCTTGAGAATGGTTTGGGAATATTTAGACTAGTGTTACAAGATTTGGGTTTTCTTTTAAAGTTGTTGTTTAATTACATTTTCATTGAGTACTTGAAGGACTGATCCACTAGTAGTGCGTTCAGTTCTTCAAATGTCAGTGGTGTCTTGTATGTTAAGGTTTGGAAGGGTTTGCATATATCATAAAATTTGAACCATGTGGTTTTACTTCCTGTGCTTATATGCCCATAGGATAATTTACTATTGTGTACTGAATGTTTACACAGTGCTTCAGAAGAGTGTAACCTAAAGAAACATGTGGTACTTTCTTTTGATAGAATATTTCATTGCATTACACATACGACATATTGCTCAACCGACATTATTTTATGAATCTAACCTCTATATATATAAATGTCGCATCAGTCCAAGCTTTATGCTGCAGCAAATGAGCCCTAAATGGAACAGTCATAGGAATTACAGGTACATGTGATTATTAATGGTTGCATAGCAGTCAAAGAATAACAGCTTGAATATATTTTAGGTTGTCTGAGAAAAGATGTTATTTGTAAGAAATAAAGTTTCAAATGGTTAGATGTATATGTTACAATATAATGAAGTTAAATATGCTGGAGTAAGTGCACTTTCAGTGGCCATTATGAATTATGTATGTATTCCCATGGCTTGGGGCTGAATAACAAAAGTCATAAGATTATGTTCATTCTAAATGTTTTGGCAGTGGTGCACTGTACTTATGATTTCTGGGTTTCTGGACTTTGCCCATGTAGTATTTCATACAGAACACAATTTTTTCAGGAATTGAATATGTCTCCAACCTCAGGTGAGGGGCTGGGGAGGACTTGCTGTGTTGGGTCTGTTAAAAATAGGTAGTCTCAGTCAGTGAACCAATGTCCAACACCAGTTCTTTCTAACAGACTTAACTAAGAAAGTGCCTTCCCACCAACTGACTTGAAATAGATCCAGTTTCCGAAACATATTCTGTATGGAACACCGGATGATGGGCAAAATCCAGAAGTGCAGTAATCCCAAGTGTAATAAGATTATGGGCTTTTGAATTTGACACTGTTCATGTACCTGCATTTCAGTGGATTCTGCGGACTACATCATAAGTGTAGGGGATTGCTGAAACATTGGTACATATCTACCAAACTACACTGTGTCACATTTCAGAGGACTGTAATCTTAATACTAAATGCCTTGAGAACATTACATCTCATGTAACAAAGTAATCTTTGATTTTACTCCATGTTTGTGCATCGGATGAAATTGTCTATTGGATTATGGTCTTGTGACAGGTGTGGGTTGACTTGTAAAGGATATTGTGAAATGCAGAAAGGCAAAAATAATGTATCCTGTTTATGGCAGGCAGCTTTTCACTTGAAGAGACAGTAATTCTGGAGAGAAAGTTAACAAGAATGATGGTAATCAACTTACTATAAGAACTGAAAATATTGAAGTCTCCTCCTCTAATCTTATGAACTCATGAAATCACGTTTCAGTTGTTACAGTGTGCACATACCAAAGTACAATGTTGCAATGTGCAAATTTCCTGATAAATTCTAATTTATTCTAACATAAATTAACATTTTTGATACTGAGATTATGAAAATAAACATAAAATGTTTGGAACCATGACATATTGAATTATAATTGCTTGGACATGTAATTTTTATTTCTGTAACCATAATTGACTGGAAAATCTCTGCCACATGGATTTTAAGCCATTCAGGTGTCAGATAATCGAGCTTTTGTTCCTGAATAGCGAAGTGATTTTGTGAACAGTTATTTCTCATATGCTATGCACCTGTAATCACTGGTATGTTTGCAAAATGTTATGAAGGATGTTGCTAGAAACCTCTCCCCCTCCAGTTACACCAAAATAAATAGGACAACCTCCCACACTTTGAGGTTTGTTATCTTGGGACCAAAGAATGTTTTACCTTTTTAACCATAGCCAGTTTTGATTGCATTATTGCTTCCAGTTACTGTATTTTCGTGATAGTAGGTTTGTGCCTCATTATTATGGTTGCCAGATCAATTATGTGTCAGAACTCTTTGGGCATTCAGTTATGTCTCTTACTTGCAGTTACATTAATTTTAGCTTGGGCTCTAGTTAGACCCATTGTTATGTAATAACCCATTCATCTAAACTTATATTGTTTTACACTTAGAACATGGAAGTTTTTTATGAAGATATGCTAATTTTCAAGTGTGGAGTGTTTATTTTTATTATTATTAATATTATTATTATTTATTGATTACTTTAACAAAACATGTTTTGTTGAGTTTGTTCCAAATGGTAGAAGAACATATATGGGCATTCTCTGATGTCTGCAGGTCAAAGACTCTTTTATTTCATTATTCTTGTAGTCTTAGATAAGTAACAGTGATTAACAGTATTTCACTTTTCTATTGTGTACTCATATAAAAGTATTACCATTTTCATATAATTCTCAGTTTGGTTTGTCTCGCAATAACTGTAGCTCATGTATTCATAAATGGAACCAAATTGTACTAAACAGACACAGTAGAAGGTAAATTTGTCTTTATGCTTAATTAAGCACCATATCATGAAGACATGGGGGAGTGGAAGTATAGCTCCACACATTCTTAATCTTGTCACTAGATAGAGGTGGGTGTTCAGGTTCATGCTCTAGGTGCTTTAAACCTGGGAAAAGACCCAGTGTTGATCCTTTCCAGTGACGGACTGTTGCCACAGTATATAAATGCCATTTTCTCTTACGGTTAGCACACAAATTCAGAGAAACTATAGCTTGTTGAAGTGTGAAAGAGTTAAAACATACAGCGATTGACAATTTTTTTTACTTGTTCTTTTCTGTCTCTAATAATAAATCCAGTTTTTGAGGCAAAATGGTGAGCCCACAGGTAAATTCCTGCTGTGAGGGCATTGCAGTGGATGCTTTACTATTTTCTTTCCATCTTTTCCTTGTTCTCCCAAATAGTCAGTTTCCATTAGATTTTCAAACCAAAATCTTGCTTGTATTGTTTCCACTGTTCATACTGCATGTATCTTGTGTGATTTATTACCCTATCAAAACTGAGTGAAGAGTACAAACTGTGAAGATCCTTGTTATGTAGATGTCTTAGCTCTCCTGTTACTTCAACTCTTCCATCTACAGTATTAAATAATTTTTCCCAATTGAAAATAATTTAATCTCTGGTGGAGGGGGGTTTCGCATTGTAGTATAGTATCAAGTTTGTCTTGATAAAGGACAGAAAATTTTGTGCAAATGAAATATTATATTGTCTAAGAGTGGAAGAAGAAAGATCTAACATTTATAGTACATGAGTTATTACACAACAGTCAAATTTAGGGCATTAAATTATTTGTAACTTTGATATTGAGCTAGGAATATATTCAATTATTGTAATTATTTATTATAATTTTTGTGGGTATTATCTCTTCTGTTTATGTACAAATGTGATTTAGTTTGAAAAGTGAAAATATTTATTTATTATTTTGATTGGCTTAACAGAAAACAGTGCATTCTCCTTCTGTCAGCTGAGAACTTAACATAAGTTTGCTTGTTTCTTTACTTAATTTTTGATGTGCAAGAACTGTGTGTATACCCAGTCTCTTAGTAACATGATAGTAGTGGTCTTAAAAAGTTTTGTGTTAGGTGAAATGAGACTGAAATTTCCCATTAGGAATTAATGTACATAATATTGTTCGCATTTGTTGAAAACCAGCCCTACATTATAAACCTTGTTAAACTGAATTTGTGTTGGTAGAACTTGTGTACTGGATGACTGGGTGTACACAGAATTTTAATTCCCATTTTCAGTTATTACATTACAATGAAACCACCTTGAGGAGAAGTGGTTTTGAACATTAACAAAAATCTTAACTGAAGGATATTTAACAGTGAGGTTAAGACTTTCAGAAGCCAAGTCTGAACTGTAACTCTAGAAGTACACTGTGTGATGTTTGCTAATGGCTCTGATAGTGTGTCTGTCATGTTTCATTATTAATAGTATTATAGCCATATTTTGTACTTATGAATACAAAATTATCTTCAGACAAATTTTCTTCTTCTGCAAAATTAATGTAGAAATTTAATTCGGCTGTAACAGGAAAATTTGAAGCTTTGAAGCCTACTCTTGAGTTATGCATCGTGATTTATATTCGGCAGGAAGACATTAAGGTCTTTGGGTCTGAGATTCTCATAGCAGTGTCTGTGATGTGGACAGTTGTCTGGGTTGTGGTATTGTATAGTTCGAAGAGAGCCTGATGTTTAAGGTGTATGTATCAACTCCATTTTTGGGTCAAACAGTAAACTGAGCAAGAATCCAGCAGAAGCAGGTGTTAAGGTGAACTCAGCTTGCCACCTGCTTCTGCTGGCTTCTTGCTTGAGTTGCTCTTCAGCCCTGAAGATAGAGGCAATATGGTCCTCTGAAGTGTCAGGCTATCTCTGATCTATATGATGTTACGGCCCAGAAAACTATTGATTGATTGATTGATTGATTTATTTAACATCCATAACTGTTACATATGTACAATTGGACAAGTCAGTTTTTTAAAAGGTCTCTTTTTCC